TCGCGAAATTTGGCCGGGGATTCAGGAACCGCATTGAGGCATAGCTCTTTGTGCTCTTTTTCAGGGCTGAACTTTTTCCTGCTGTTAACGTGTGAGCCTTATGACTTCGTTTTGTATCCGAACCTTCCGGTGTGTACTATCTCCGAATGGTAGAGATTGGAACATTTTTCCATTATCTAAAAAATTAGGACTTATTATAAGGTTTTGGAGTAGAGACTAAGATGGTACACAGAAGATCATCCATTAGACATAAGGAAAAACTGCATGACACTTATTTCAAATAAGTTGCATGTCTCGAGAATCTTAGGTGATTATTATAGAAAAAATGAAAGGTTTTTTTTTCTTGCCCCTTACTTTGAAGTGCAATTATGATTTTGCTTTTATTTTTCTAACTTTGTGATTTTGCCCTTCACTATGAGCAAGTCAACGCGATTTTGTCCCTGGTCTTTGTGAATTTGCCCCTACTTTGACCGTTGACTAGGGGCAAAATCGCATTGACTTGCTCGTAGTGAAGGACAAAATCATAAAGTTAGAAAAATGAAGATAAAATCACAATTACACTTTAAAGTAGGGACAAAAATGCAAGAGCCCAAAATGAAACCGTTCCAAATACGGCTAGTCAGAGCACGTTTGATCCTCGCTCCGTATAGTCTCCTGTCCTGTAGTGCCGACTCGAGAGTCCACTCTCCAGAAGACCACAGAATACGTTCGGTACGTGGCAACAAGGAAGCACGTTTGATCCTCCCTCCGTATCGTAATTAGATGACGTTTAGGACATGAGTACGATTACCAAGGAGTGATTAATTAGGGGTTAGTTTTCCTGTTTTGGCCTTATTAAATATTCCTGAGGGTGCTACCTGTACAGCAATCCATCGTAGCTCGGTTGGCCAAGACTCCACGGCCCGAGGCATGAGCTCCACGGTTCGACCCCTGGCAGCCTTTTTCGTTGTCGCCACAATTTTTGCATGGCGCTGTGCGGGCTCGTGTTTGGCCGTTCGCGCGTGCTGCGCGTTTTCGTTGTTTCGCGAGTTTGGCAGCGTTGAGTGGCACTGGCGCGCGTGCGGTGCCGTGTGGATTCATTTGGCTGGGCGAGGCGCGCTCGTTTAGCAGCGTTTTTGCGCGCGTTTAGCAGCGTTTTTGCTCCGTTTTCATAGGCAAACATTCTTTTGCGGTGGCGCCACTGTGTTTACAATTTAGCGCTCGATTGCCTGCGTCGTTTGAGTTCCACCATGGCTATTAATACACAGTCTTTCCCCGGCCTCTTCTCTTTCCATAGCCGTGCATCATCTCCACACTTTCCTGTTTTCTCTTTGCATGTACCGCTTGCAATGTCAGCTGATCCAGCAAGAGTGCCTGCCTTAGATCTGAATGTACGCTTAGAAGATGATGACAACGGCTTTGATCTGAATGTTGGCTTAGAAGAAGATGACTATGGTAATGTGTTTCCTTGTTTGATTTTGCTTGTTTCACTCAACCTCCATCTCTCCTTATTTTTTTTCCTTTTTTTGGACAGGGTTTGATTTGAACTTGCCATTGGATGAGTATGGTGTGGTTGATTTCGACTTCGTACAAAACCTTCATGGTAATCCTGCATGCCGTCCTATTATTTTGATACAACATGTACCGTACAAAATCTGCATGCCGTGCCTAGTAAATGTGCTTGTTTTTTCCTATAGCTAGAACATGCATGCCGTGGCTAAGTAATCTTGCTTGTTTTTTCTTTCATTTTAGCTACATCTTGCCGTGGATCCATCTTGCCGTGAACAAGTAGTACTACTACGAATATTATCTTGCCTAGTACTCTGAATGTGCTTGCTAAGAACACTAAGCATTATTTTTTTTAACAGAACATGTTCAACAGCCCCACCGAAATAAAGAGATGACAGAACACCTCCGCAAACAAGTTTGTCAATCTTTGTTGGCTAGAAGCAACAATGGTAAACTAGGCAAGAAGGACACTACCATTGTTGCCGAGCAATTTGGGCTTAAAATTCGTGCAGTTCAAAGGTTATGGAAAAGAGGTAAAACACAACTTGCAAACTCCATTCCGATTGATGTTTCAAGTCTAAAAAAGGGTAGAGTAGGCCGCAAGCAAATCCCTGTTGACTTAGATGCATTGAGAAACATTCCTCTAAAGCAAAGAATGACTATAGATGATGTGTGCAAGGCACTAAATTTGAGCAGATGGCAGATTCAAAGGTATTTGAAAAAAGGCTACCTTAGGCGCCACTCTAGTAGCATCAAACCCTTTCTCACTGAAGCTAACAAGAGGGCTAGGTTACAGTGGTGTGTTGACATGGTTAACAGGGAGTTGCTTGATGATCCAAAGTTTAAGGAGTTGTATGACTTTGTTTTTATTGATGAGAAATGGTTTTACCTACATCAAAAAAATGAAAGATATTATTTGCTACCCGAAGAAGATGTACCACATCGGACTTGTAAGAACAAGAACTACATCCCTAGGCTCATGTTCTTGTGTGCTTGCGCTCGACCAAGGTTTAGGGATGGGGTTTGTACTTTTGATGGTAGGATTGGATGTTTCCCACTTGTTCATTTTGAACCGGCTATGAGAAGTAATGAGAGGACCGGCCGTGTTCGTGGCGACATGGTTATGAAGCCCATTACATCGATCACTAGAGATGTGATTAGGGACTTCATGATCAACCAAGTGTTGCCGGCCATTAGATCCAAATGGCCAAGAGAAGATGTGGGTAGACCAATCTTTATCCAACAAGACAATGCACCCTCTCATTTGAAATTGGATGATTCGGAATTTTGTGCGGCCGCTAAGCTAGGAGGATTTGATATTCGCCTAATCTGTCAACCACCAAACTCTCCGGATTTCAACATTCTTGACTTGGGTTTCTTTCGAGCAATACAAGCAATTCAATATAAAAAGGATGCAAAAACTATAGAGACTCTAGTTCCAGCCGTCAAAGAGGTAATTTGCAATTCATGGAAGCAATTCAAATTGTTCACACATGTTTTGTTGCACATTTGTTTTCTCATTCGTTCTTTTGTTGCACAATTATTTTGTAGTCATTCATGGAGTACTCGCCACACCTTGCAAACCGGATGTTTCTAACACTACAAGGTGTCTTCTTGGAAGCAATGAAAGTGAAAGGTTGCAACAAGTTTGAGATACCTCACATGAAAAAAGAAACACTAGAAAGAGAAGATCGGCTACCATCTTGTTTGCCTTGTGATCCATCATTGCTACATGAAGCCGAAGCTACTCTTGCTGCATGAAAAAATTATAATGATGCTTGTTAGCTTTTGTAGTAGAGACATCTTGTAATGTTGCATGAACTAAACCATTGCTGATTGTTTCATGAACTAAATTTGTAATCTTATCGATGCTTTGGCGTACTCCTTTGTCGGCAGCAAGCCCTTGTAGTGCTCCATGAAAAGCTCGCAGTCCATGTTGATGCGGCCGAGCATGGCATCGATGGAGTAGTCCGCGTGGACGAGACCACAGCGAGGGCATGGGTAGAATCGCGAGTGCGCACGGTTCCACGCTTCGCGGTCCTCATGGACGAGATGGCAGCGACCGCAAACGAAAGCGCCAGGCGGCAAGGACTCCGGCACCACGCTGTCCACGGCGACCTCCTGCGAATCCGGCACCACGCCATCCGCGGCGAGCAGCACGACCTCGTCCGGCTCCTGCGAGTCCAGCGCCACGCCGTCCGCGAAGACCTCCTGCGAATCCAGCGTGACGACGTCCGCGGAAACTGGGACCACGCCGTCCGCGGCGAGCAGCAGCGGGTCGAGCGAATCCAGTGCGATGGACAGCAGCGGGTCAGAGTCCACGGACAGCAGCGGGTCGTCGATGTCCTCCGTGGCGAACTCCTCCGACTCCGGCCCGATGTCCTCCGCGGCTAGCACCTCCGACTCCGTCCCGACGCCGTCCGCGGTGACCAGCACCGAGTCCGGCCCCCGCGCGCCGCCGGTATCCATGGCGAGGAAAGGGAGCGCTAGACCCTAACCAACGGACTCTACGGCGAGCAGCTGAGGGAGATGAAGTCTGCGCTGTGGACGGCAAGGGCGAGCGTGCTGCCCTGTTGGCGAGCGTGCTGTGGGCGGCCGACGTCTTCAATCGAGGAGTCCAACGATTAAGCGCAGTAATGACGTCGAGAGGCGAGCGAAGCTGAGCGGCCAGGCTAAGGGGTAAACGCATGCATGCATGCATGCTGTGGGCGGCCCGACGTCTGTGCTGTTTGCATGCATGCGCGTGAGGGGTAAACGCGTCCAAATTAGGCCTCGGTACTCAGAACGTCATCCTTTGCCACAAACGCATCACGCTCCAGAACGTCCTCTAATTAGGAGTACATCCCCAAAAGCACCGGCCGCGGAGTTTCAGTTTGTCCTTTCAGGAGCCGGAAGTCGAAGTCCCAAGTTTAGCTGCTATTTTTGGCGAACCCCCCTACTTTTAAGCTTCACCGCAGCCTTACCAGTGAATCACCAGAGAGCTCGCGGTGCCGGTGGCCGGTGCGGCAGTGGTGAACCCATCCATCCGTCCAATCCAAGCACCACCAAATCCCGAGCCCAAGCGCAGCAGCCAGCACTGGGCGGCGGGCGGGCGGGCGGCCCCGGGAAACCAGGGCGCACGGCGCAGGCAGCAAGCAGCATCCCGCCCGGGTTTGAGTTCAAAACAGGCGGGGCGGGCTATTTGTCTCGGCGCCCACAGGGAATCCCGATGCCGCGCGGAGGCTGAAACGCATGCATGCCAGCCCGCGCCTCCCACCCGGCGCTTGCCACCTCGCGCCCGTCCGGTTGGCCGCGCCTGCGCGCCCTCGGCCTCGCCCCGACGGGGGGGCGTTGCCTCCCCCACCTGCACCCATTTCAGAGCCCGCCCGCCACTTGTCACCGGGCGCCCCCGCCTCCGCGTCTCCGCCCACCCGCCGCATCCGGCTATAAAAGCCTCGCCCGCCCCAACCCTAGACGCCGTCGCCGCCGCCGCCGCCGCTGCCGCTACCTCCTCGCTCCTTCCTTCCACCGGCATGGCCGGCATTAACAAGCGCCGCACCTCCCCGGTCTCCACCTCCTCTTCCTCCGCCGGTGACGTCCTGCCGCAGCGGGTCACCCGGAAGCGTAGGTCCGTCCGCCGCGGGCCCCGGAGCGCCACTCGGAGGCCGTCGTCGGCGCCTCGACCTGTGAGTGCCTCGGAATTCACGGTCTCCTTCGTGCTGTTGCGGTTTGTATGCGCCGTGCGAGACGCGATGGTGGGCCGTCGTGGTGCGTAGGTGCGGTGGGCTGGAGGCCCAGGGGGAGGCGATCGGCGATCCCCCTCGTCCCTTGTTGCCGGATTTTAAAATTTCCGTGCGGGATTTGGGACTCTGGTCCGTACGATCGCTGATTGATTAGTGGATCGTTGTTTACTAGCAGTTGCTTGCAGGTTTAGCATGTATTCCATGATCAATTTGGGCGATCTAGTGTACTGGTGTGTGTTTGATTACCATGGTATAGGTGTGATCAATTGGACACGAAAGTTGTAGATACTGGCATTAACGGTAGGTTGAGGAAAGTGGGCTGAGGAGGGGCATAATTTTGGTGCTCATTTTGGTTGCTTATTTATTGATTTCGTAGTAGTGATGATCTCTCACCCGAGTGTGGTTTGGGTGGTAGTAAATGTGCAATTACCCAGGTTTTCGGTTCAATTGGACTTTGGTTTCGCAGTTCGTCGATCGTAAAAAAACGAGATCCAACCTAGGAGGAACTAGTTGGTTTTTCATTAAGAAGAGAAATAGGCACCCAAATTCAGTCCAAGAGGGGACTTGAACCTGGGTAGTTGGGTGCATTGCTACACCTCTCACCTAACCAGTTGAGCTAGGCTCAGTTCCTGCAGTTTGTCGATCGTGTGCATCCAGGTTGCACAATGTTACAGGTTGTCACCATGTAGGCCTTATATTGCCATTTAAGGGCGATAACTGGGTAATTTCAGGAGCATAATTTGGTAGCTAATGTGTGATTGTTTTGGTCTTCTCAATGGCGGTTGTTGTTGGCAGGATGACTAACATTTTTCATGAAAAAAACAGTGTAACATTGGTTGGAGTTGTTGTCAGTGTACATGTGTGTTCTCACGAGTGTGCTGCAGCCCATAATTGGTAGGAATTGGCTGTACCAGCGTGAATTATTGATAAGGAACTCCAAAAGTGACCGTACTGTTTGTACCATACGACCTGTATCATACAAGTTGACTGATATATTATATGTCGTCATGGACTAGTATTATGATGGGCTGCACTTGGCCTGGCCACCATCTGGTACTGAGGAGGACGTACTCATTGAGCTTGGTGTTCTTGGCCCTCAGTGATTTCTACTGATAGAACGCGCTACTTCTCCATGTTTGATATAAACAAATTGATAGTGTGAGATCTCTTTCATGAAGAAGATGGGAGTTTTCTGCTGTGTTCTTGAAAAGGATCAGAAGATGTGGGAGCTATGTGCAAATTAGCAAAAATTGTGTTTTTGGCAGTACCATTTTTATTACTGCTGATGGGTGACACAAGTATCAGTGTATTTTGGCATGAACAGTAGAAATCAGTAGAATTTTTCCCTCAAAAAACGCAGGAGAGCTGCGCTTCATTATATTAAGAAGAAGAAATCAGTAGAATTGTCTGCTTTGTAATCATGTGGACAAGTTATTAATCTGATTATATGTGTTAGAAGGTAAATTTAGTGAAATTGGTTGCAAATACAGATAGAGTATTGTAAATAGCTTCCTTCCAATGTGAAAACTGTTGGTTTTTGCCCTTCTTCCAGACTAGTCCATAAAATTATTTTTTTGAACACAATGTCCATAAAATTATATATATGCCATATGCTTGGTCTCTGAATGCATTTATCTTCTGATGCAGATGAATGAACTGGACTTGAATACAGCTGCTCTTGATCCGGATGTAAGGTTATGCAGAAAACTAGAGTAACTGTTCCTTTTTAGAAAACAAAGAGTTATCAGAATATAGTCCGTTCTTCTGGGTTAAGAGATTCTGCAATGTTTGTGTAGCATTATGCTACAGGATTGAGAGTTCTTCTTCAGAAGGAGCTCCGAAATAGCGATGTAAGCCAACTTGGGAGAATTGTTCTCCCAAAGGTCAGTTACCAATGCAATTAAAATTTTCTTTTTGAAAGTTCCTCTACAAAACAATTGATACTTGTTAATGTTGAATGGATTGGCTGGTTGGTGGTGGTGTGTGTTGTGTGTTTGTCGCTTTGTATTTCTCCTTTATTAATACAAAGACCGGCAGTTATCCTGCCAGATTCTCTTCAAAAATAATGTGGGATGGATTCTGCAGAAGGAGGCGGAGTCTTACCTCCCTATTCTGATGGAAAAGGATGGAAAGAGTTTATGTATGCATGACTTGCTAAATGCACAACTGTGGACCTTCAAGTATAGGTGTGAGCTTGTGAATTATATTTGGCTTTGATGCTTGTTACATTGAGCACAAAAATCCTTATATTTCCTAAACTTACTTAGGAAGAATACAATGTTATGCTGCCAAGCAGCTTAAAGAACAATCTGTGGATATTAGATTAATTAAAAAATCAACACAGATTAATCCTTTTCATGCTTTATTCTTAATGTTATCTTAGTTTGAGTTAAATGCTATCAAAATTTAGTAAGATCTGCAGAAGATGCAAACTGCAGACAAGATTGTGGCCTTCTCTGATATTCTGCCCTGAGTAACAAGAAACAGTTAATTAGATCAGAGAAATCCTTAGAACTACATCCTATTGATATGAATCCTTTTGGATATGTTACCAATTATGAGTAACAGAGTTTTATTTTAATATGGTTCTTCATGTGAATAAGAAGAAATTCAGTTATTCTGCATTATTTTTAGTAAGGTCTTGTTTATCCACTAGAGTGACAGATTCCATAATGTCTAATGCAGATATTGGTTCAACAACAAAAGCAGGATGTATGTGCTTGAAAATACTGGTGAGTAATTTTCACTTTGGTAACGCGTGTTTTGATTTGAAATTGCCAAACTGAAACAAGTTTTTAGTTATCAACAGTTAATAAAATTATATTCATGTTTAGCATACAAAAGTTGTACTGTTAAATTCATGCTTCAAAGTGCTTTTAATATGATGCTGATTTTGCAGCATTAATGACAATATATTATACCCTGAGGCCCTGTTTTGATCCTTGGAATTGAATTCATTCTAATAAATTATAATTTAGTCACATATTAATTAAGCTAATATGGTTGTACATAGAATATATTTGTATACTATTGTTAGCCATGCAAGAGAGATGCTTATATGTTGCATTTCTACTATTGGTAAGCGAGTTGAAGAGCGTGCTATAAGTTGCATAGTAGAAATATAGTATGGCGATCTATAGAATTAATTTTCATCTCCCACCCTATGAATTTGAGATAGGCTTATATGTGAACTTTGGAAAGTTATGGAATCTCAAATTTCAAGCCAAATAGCCCAATCCATTAAGTGGATTCCAATTCCTCCAAAATGAAGGGATCCAAACAGCCCCTAAAAGAAATTAAATATCAAAACCTTCTTACCAAAATACGCCTTACATTATTGGATGGAGGGAGCAGTATTTTAGGCCAGTTCTCTTATGTTTTCTGCACCTCTTTAAACATTTCAGGAGATTATGTGAAAGCTCATGACCTTCAGCAAGGAGACTTCATTGTGATATACAAAGACGACGAGAACAACCGCTTTGTACTCACTCAGTTTTCCTCATCAGCATTATTTATCAAAGTTGCACATTTTTGTCAGGCTGCCAGTAGGTGCTTATTACTGTGTGCTGTATGTGGTAAAGGTCATAGGAGCAAAGAAGGCAGGAGATGAACAGACTGCCACTGTGCCCCAAGTCCATGAACATATGCATATCTCTGCCGCACTTCCAGCTCCACAAGCATTCCATGACTATGCAGGCCCCGTTGCAGCAGAAGCGGATATGCTCGCGATCGTGCCACAAGCTGATGAGATATTCGACGGCATACTGAACTCCCTGCCAGAGATACCAGTAGCGAACGTGAGGTACTCCGACTTCTTCGACCCGTTCGGTGACTCCATGGACATGTCAAATCCCCTGAGCTCCAATAACCCCTCGGTCAACCTGGCTACGCATTTCCATGACGAGAAGCTCGGGAGTTGTTCGTTCCCCTACCCAAAATCTGGGCCTCTGATGTGAGATCCGGGCAGAAAAACAAACTGCTGGGTCAAACCATCCCCCTGCATGGAACTCAGACATCCCCTCGTTGACGCCATTGCTGTACATCCAAATAATTGGCGTCCTCATTTTGTATGTTTACTAGTATATGATTGGGTAAGCCGTAAGCCTGCTGTTTATGTGTAAAAGGGTGACTCTGCAAAACTGAACTGAACATTACATCAGATGCAACGCTGTGACGAGGCTCTGGTGTTTCTTGCACCTCTTGAATTTGCAGGTACATAAACGAAAGCATCCTGTGCGTTACCTTCTTAGTATGAGAGTAACTTCCACGCACGTGGTTGGGGAGGCTCATCTCAAGTGGGCGCCATAGATGCCGACCCTTGAGCCCCCTTGATCCTTGTTGCGTTTCAGTTCCAGCGACTCATCTCCACGACAACGACGGTTACGGGACTGGTGTTAGTTCATTGGCTTGAAACACCTTCTCCGATGTGATACGCCAGGTCAGGTTTCTTCGAAAGCTTAGGGCTCCTTTGATGCCTCAATACCGCCGGTATCCCCGCCTCATCCACGGGTAGCGCGAGGCCCGTGGGAGTGGCACCCACCTTCATTCCGCGTTGCCGTTTGGATACCCCTTGCACTGAGAAAGACCCGTGCCTTGTCAGCCCGTTCCCCGTCGATCCGCGGGGGAATAAAAAATCATCTCCCGAGTCGTGTTTCTGCCTCCCGTCGCCTCTCGCGCATCGACTCGTGCGGCTGCGCAAAGCAAGACATTGCGGCTAGGGTTTGAGCGCCACCACTCCCAGTCGCGTGCGCCGCGCATCCCCATCTCCCACCATCCCGCGACTCGCTTCGTGCCAGCAGCGCCACACACTCCATCCATCCACCGGGAAGCAGCGCTGCCGCGCACTCCATCCTCTCGCAAGGTAAGTCATGGCGGCTAGGGCTCGAGCTCCTCGTCCGCCTTGTAGGTCCTTCCCCATTGAGACACTCGTCGATTTATTTCCCCGTCTCGCTTGCTTTCTTCTCGCCCGTCAGGCGTTCACTCCTTCGGTAGAAGGAATCCATGGCGGCTAGGGTTTGATCTGTCCTTTGCTGCTCCCTGCGTCACCAGGCCGCTTTAGATCCGTTCGAAGAAGCGCGAGCCCTCCAAGAAGCGGGAGATCTACAGGGAGAAGTGGATCTGCAGCGGCCGCCCCCGTTCTGTCTCACCAAGAACGCCCAGGTACCATCGTCCTAGAGCACGTCGTCACTCTCCAGGGCCGTGTCTTCGCCAATTGTCCTGCCGTCCGTCGTCGTGGTGAGTCTCCATGTCCCTTTCCCCTCTGTCTTTCCCAATCTTGGCTCCGTTGTTTCTTGTTAGATCTGTCGTGGGAGAAGTGGATCTACAACTGCAAAATATTATTTCTTGTTAGATCTGTTGGTCTTCATTTCTCTGCACTCCCGTCGAAGAATTGGAGGAGCAGTTGGGGACGACCGACAAGGTGCAGCAGGAGCAACGAGGGAGAAGGGGAAAGGAGAGGTGAGTGCCCGGCTCTGTTCCTGTTCCCATTCTTGCTTCTTGGACTTGCCTGCTCCTACTGATTGCCGGATTGGATTGCACGCTATTCTCTTCTAGACTATTCGGAATTTCTGATTCCATTGTGGATTACATGCGAGTGTAGTATAGGGTGTGCATATTATTTGGTTGAGTTCTCGAATCTTATGTTCAGAGTTGTATTTTTGGAGATGATAGTGTAACCAAAGCCCGAATGTCACCAACCACCGGTAGCATCTTTGTCTTTGTCGAAAGTGCCAATAATCACTTGATACATAAGGCTTAGCTAACCCACAAGTGGTCAGGTGTTAATTTCGTGTGCACTTTTACGAATAAATGTATCAACATATGTCCAATACAAGTGGGATTTGCAGGAGAGCACACACTGCTGTTCTTTTTTAAAAAAACACCTTGGTCGGTGTTAGTAAGCTTTTTCCATGAGACATTTCACGAGATAGTGCTCTCGTGTTCATTAATAGTAGTGTAGTTCAGTTCGATTGATGTGTTGTGTTCATTACTAGTAGTGGCTGCTGATTTACGCAAAAATTAAGTTGTCAAAGCCTAACCCAAAGTTTTAACGATTTCTTAGTGCATGCAATAATTTTGTGTTTGTCGTGCTTGGAACCCTGTCCAAACATTTGTTCAGTTCGGTTGTCTTGTCTGAATATGTCTTAAGTTAAAGAATTATTATGGTCATTACTTCGGATGGATGTATGCTCTCATACGCTTTAGGGATCTGATACACTAATTAATTGCATGCTTATCTTCAGTTAACTATGCGCAGATTATACTATTTTATATATTTGTTATGTAATTTCAAGCGATGCTGGTCTGCTCAGCATTATTTCTCTGTGCTGGTTTCTGCAAAAATTATGACTATGCATTCTTGTTTGTTTGGTGTTTCTGAAACAACAGTTTTCAGAAACAGCAACAACTTTATTCTCTGTTTAGTGTTTCTGAAAATGCATATCTATGGTGTATTTCTCTGTGGTCAAATGTCCATGTCCTAGAGATCATCCATTAATCAAATGCATCTCCGTTGTCTTTGATTCTAAGGATATCGGGGACTTAAAAGCTATGACCACAAACATTTTTTTGAGAATATGCACTTTTGTTTATTTAATAAGAAAGATGAAGTTTCAAAATGGAATACAACGCGAGCCTCGTTGTGGTGTAATCCCGTCCTTGTCATCCGCCCATCGGTCGCCTCAAGGAAACTTTCTTTTTTTCTCAGATGAAGAGAAGGCGCAAGCAACAAGCGTCACGAAGTGTGAGGTGAACAGAGAATTTTTTATCAACTTCACAAACCCAAGAGTTCACCTATTGTGGATCAAGGGTGAGATTGCTCCAAAGGTAAGCTAAACTCAACAATTCAGAGCTTAAAACAGAAACATTAACTGACATTGACCATAACACCCATCAACCAGTCTGGCATAGATCATTTCCAACTGAAGATACATAGAGGCTTTTGCAGCCTTTGGGGTACAAGCAGTTTGTTTCTAACATGGTGAACAAAATAAAGGCTGTCAATACACATATGCTAGGCATCAGCATTTATGTTCCTTTCATTCTTCATCCTCAGACTTGTCCCTGCTGGTTTCCTCATCACCAGTAGGCTTCTTCTGATGGGGCATGCCCTTCTTCTTTGTTCCCACTGGACTTGGTTGCTTTCTCTTCCTGAGCAGGACCTCTTCATCCAAATTCTCCTCTTCTATCTGGCATAGTTTGGCTCCCAAAGCCCTGATCACCTGTACTGTCAGAGTTGGTGGATTAGGGGAGCATGCAAGGCATTTTCTGTCAGTGTAAGTTGATTTTCTGAAACCACCACTCACCTGTTTGAGCCTGCTGCTGCTCCTCAGGCTGGTTTCCACCATGCTTGCAGCCTTCTTATTGCTTTTTTTCTTTTGGGTGACTGGCGAGACATCTTCTAGCTCCTCCAAGATTCCCTTGCCTTTCCATTCTTCCCCCACTATGTTGCTGTCATTCCCTGATAAGCAAGAAATATGATAGTCTGTTGCTAGCTATGATCTTGTGTGCAGTTAACATTAGTATTTGCAGCTCCTATATTTACATCTGTGATAATGACAATATTCGTTGATGCAGGTTTGAGTGTCCAGGACATTTGAAGAGGCATCTCATGAAGTGTCAAAGCTCCTGAACGTATCAGTCACTGAGAAATTTCCAATTTGCCGCATTCCACGATGCCGCTTTTATGTTTATTCCTTGCTTGAACTGGACATGTCTGTCTTTACTTCCATAATCTTGTCTATGCAAATGAATTACGTATCAGTACTAAATTTATCTGTGGTGCTAAGTTTCAGCTTGAGAAAACATCATTTCTGAATTCTGTGTTTTTTCTGATTATTCTGAATATTTTTTGTCGTCCGGGATTTGTATCCCCACGTTTCTCAAATGGTAGCTGGTAATTTTTCCCGCTAGGGGATTCCGTCTCCTGGGGGGACAGGGGTGGCAAGTGCAGTGGAGAAAACCCCTTGGGGGCTTAAACACACGTGTTTTTGGGCACCCTTCGTCCAAATGAGCCCTTAATGGATTGATGCATGGATTGCAGAGTCCTGCTGCAGTCTTCTTGGTTTTTGACTAACGTCCATGTGGTTTTCCCTTATTTAGATTCAGAGTCGAACCTTTTTTTTTTTCTGTTTCAGCAACTTCTCTCGGATGCACCCGTCACACTCACACTCCAGCTGGAGCTTGTTTCCTGGCTTGCTACAACACTTGATTGTTCGGTTTTACGGGCCTTTGTGCACAGCTGTTTCTTGCACAGCGGTTTACGAAAGCATAGATGCATGCATGCACAGATGTTAAGCAGTCTGTTGGCGGAACTGCTCTTAGCACTCCATGGATACCATCGAGTGCGCGTGTTACTTTCCCCAATTGCATGAAACGTTATACCGGCTGGTTAGTGTCCTTATCGCTCTAACTATTTTGAGGCCTGATCATTATTGCAGTTCGGCATCTGGTTAGTGTCCTTATCTCTTTAACTTTTTTTCCACTTACCGTGCTTTCTTCCTGGGATCTCTTTAACTCTTTTAAGGCCTGCTCGTTGAAGTTTGGCATCGAAATATATCTCGGACGCTGGACGCTTCGGTGTACCGTCACCCATAACTCAAATGCTGCAAGGAGTTTGTAGTCGAAGAAATTTGTTCCGTTTACCTTCTTCGTACTATTTGAAAGTGGAAAAGCTGCTCGCTCCATATGTGTATTAGTTAGTCAATAAAAATCGTGGAGTGGGCCGTGGGCAGGGATGAAATGTTTCTCACCGCAGACATAGCTTGCGAAGCAAAACGAAATTAAGGCAACAAGGGCACTCATTTTGTTCGCAATTTGGAGCATCTGGAATGAAAGAAATTTAACACTGTTCACACAATTGGGCGCTGCACTGAATGGAATTGTGAGACCCACCTCAGGGGCCGAATTGTGGTTGGACCAGGCTACTGTAGCTATAGCGTTAAACTGGGTTGGGCTG